ACTGGAGTTTCACCACCCTAGTGATATGAAAAGCACTAGTGAAAAATATATTTCACGACTACTGCATATCACCGCGAATATCGCGTTTTTCACCGAGTTTTACGCCACTTCACGTAAAACGGGTAGTCGTGAAACTCCATTGTGTCATATGCCGATACCGGTGCAAGTCCGCGGACTCGTGTAAAGGTCCGCAAAACTCCGAGAGGGAGGCACCGTTGGAGACGTTGATATGAGGCGACCTTATAATTCTCGTAAATTGTATGGGTCATTATTCTCACTACTCCATCACTGTATAGCTGAATTTTATTGACGAGCTTGTCATCTATAGCGTTGAGAACTCCGCATAGAATGAACAGGCTGCCACATTGGCTGTTTATCAATGCCATGCAACACGTACTATCGGAGGTATGTTCACTCCAGCTACCTAGCTGTTACCAACAACGATGATTAGCAATGATGCAGGATACTGCCGCTGCACGTGTCATTTCCTCCTGTGCACAAGGCTTCGGATTTCTCGCAAATGAAGAGTTTACGTGAAACTCTACGACGAAATATTTTCATGCTCCACAACCTTCACCTGTATCGACTATATAACTCACTACACAACTAACGTAGTGAGTCGTCACACGGCATCAGGTAGTCATGTGCCTCAACGAAGGGGTTTTCCCACGTATGGAGGTCCCAAGTTAACCCACTTACTGTTTCCACTTGGCCTGTTGTGGATGGAAAGCTCTGAAAGGTAATAGACCAGCTGAAAGAGAGGCAGTATTATGACAAGTAGTAGAATTACAAATAGAAGATAGACCGCTATTTGATAGCAGTCCAACGTGCGAGAAGGTAAATACCCACAACACTCCTCAGAGTGGTCGAAGCCTAAGAGCACCCCCGGGATGGTCATCATAGTTCATCCCCCCAGAGCTAGCAGCGCAGCTAGCGCAGATGTTATTGGCGTTTTTGGATTTTATTTGGCCAGAGAAGATACCTCGGCGTGTTGACTAGACCTTCGGCAGCGCTCCTGTCCTAGGGATCACACTAGGGTCGACCATGTGAATGCTAGCCTAGAGGTCCTAGGATTGGATAACACATGTAAAACTCGGCGATCCTGGGAGTACTCTCGGTGGTTGCGCACAAGTAGAGGAAATGCAAGTAGGTGCAAGAGAGCAAGATTTACACCTGCTTTAACTCGCGTGAGAGTATACGGCGTCGTCGAGTTGATAGAAATGGCGTTATTCTACGTAGTACGCGTCGTACCGGAAAATTTTCTGTTGATTAACATTTGTCTTCGTGCATTTTCCAAGACTGCCGTTTGTTCAACGGAAGCTGTTGATGAGTCTTTTGTTTGTGGCTTGTATAACCTCTATCTGGCATCACGTCGGATGTATAAGTTAGTTTACAAATTCGTATGTTGTAGGCCGCCTTGCTTCAATAAGCAGCCAGACGGAATTGTGCTTTCAGTTTCCATAAGGTTTGTTGATGGCTCAGGATAGCCTACCAACACCAGCTGAACAGGCCTTCATAACCTACCCCACGGCCACGGCCCCTCCTAGGGAGCTAGCAGGGCAGAGAGATGTGGTAATCAATGAGAGGGGACAAGAGTCATTAGTGGCATTGGTGATAATAATATCGTGACGTTGGGCTCAACTGTGTATAGTGTGTTGGTCGCTAGACCTTCCCACACGATCTCATAGCACTGTTGTTAGTTATATAGGAAGGCAGAATATCGTCGATCTGGAGGTGTGATGAGTTTTTTATGTTGGTGGTTTTGATGTGAAATGCGCCGCACTTTGCCATTTTCTTCGCTTATTTATTGCCCTACTTACATTATCCCATACTCAGCTTAGACTATTCCCTACTCAATTTTGACTATTCCTTACCTCACTTAGACTATACTCACAATATCTTTTACTTTTCTTTCACTATTTTCTACTTAACTTAGACTAAATCTCACTCTACTTAGACTATCCCCTACTTACCTCACTTCTCCTCCTTATAGGCTCATCAGAGGTACCGCATAGCAGGTGGTGTACTCATCCCTGCTGCTGCTTCTGCTGGTGATCGTGGTGACACGAGGGAGGCTACTACTACGGTACTACTGCTACGGGGATGATTATTTTTCTATAATATTGATTTCGTGTGGGGCCGTTATGCCAGCTATGATCTATAGTAACATTTAGAAATGTATTTGAGGAGTGGGGCCGCTATGCCAGCTATGAACTATAGTAACATTTAGAAATGTATTTGAGGAGTGGGGCCGCTATGCCAGCTATGAACTATAGTAACATTTAGAAGTATATTTGACGAGTGGGGCCGTTATGCCAGCTATGAACTATAGTAACATTTAGAAATGTATTTGAGGAGTGGGGCCGCTATGCCAGCTATGAACTATAGTAACATTTAGAAATGTATTTGAGGAGTGGGGCCGCTATGCCAGCTATGAACTATAGTAACATTTAGAAATGTATTTGAGGAGTGGGGCCGCTATGCCAGCTATGAACTATAGTAACATTTAGAAATGTATTTGAGGAGTGGGGCCGCTATGCCAGCTATGAACTATAGTAACATTTAGAAATGTATTTGAGGAGTGGGGTTGCTATGCCAGCTATGAACTATAGTAACATTTAGAAATGTATTTGAGGAGTGGGGCCGCTATGCCAGCTATGAACTATAGTAACATTTAGAAATGTATTTGAGGAGTGGGGTTGCTATGCCAGCTATGAACTATAGTAACATTTAGAAATTTATTTGAGGAGTGGGGCCGCTATGCCAGCTATGAACTATAACGTCGAGAAGTGGGGCGGCTATGCCGGTGGTTGAACATGTCACATACTCGACAAAAGATATTTCTTGTTTTTGAGGCGAAATGGGGGCCAGTTTAGCGATGCCCTTTTTAAAGGAAGCTCAATTTGGCGAATTGCAAATACAGTTCCACGCCATCATCAATTTTCGGGAAACCACATGCGGAACATCTACTCGTCGAATAGACTTCTGAAGGGTATAGGTGTCTAACGGTTTATCAGGGTGAGTTTCTCATTTACAGGCTGCCCAGTTAGTGTCAGCCTGAGTGTGATCGTATTGTTGATCGTAAACACACTAGAGAGGTTCGAAAGCCGATACTCTTTGTCGTACTGTGTGTCTCCCTTCAGCTCCCGAATGGCAACGTCACTGTGATAAGCGGCGGAGAGACGAGTCTTGACCGTATTGTCTCTGGTGGGGGAGCTCTCACAATGCCGACATCTAGGCCCATCGCGATGGTAATAGTGGACATTGGCTTAAGCCAAGCTATAGAGTAGTAGTGCTAGTCATCGGAACGCTAGGATCAGGAGTGGTAGTCATGAACAATTTAAATTTCTCTTATAGGAAGCTACCTTCGTTTTTGTCAGTAACTAGCCTTGTTTGCTCTGCTCAGGTATGTCCAGTATGCAAGTGTACAGTCGTCACGAGGGTCCACTATCGCAGTGGGGCGTGTACGCTCTTTGCAGCTGCCGGACTCTGTTGCACTTGTAATGGGCCTCGCTGGGAGAAATCGTTGGGAGTATATTCGCATTTTTTCAGTTCCCCTATTTTTTTGGTTACCTTTTTGCTGTTCCGACCTGAAGGACGTCATACACGTGTGTCCGAACTGCAGATCACCTATTGGAATGTAGGCATGGGAGGAGGGGAGGGGGGGGGAGTTAATTGACAATGGGAAAGTTGCATTGTCGGGAAGTTTGTAGTAATAGCGTCCTCGCGATATCTTGAAGATCGTTTCAAAGCTGGTGAATTGGACGGGTATAGATGATGGAATGAACTCGTGGTCTGAAAGGATTCTTATCGAGCTTGGTGATAGCACAGGGTGAATCGGTTGAGGCGGTTGCACCAGATTTGAAGCGTTAGAGTTTCACTTTCTTGACAAGCAGAGTGGAAGGGATGGAATGAATTGTCGTATTGATGACGTATATCATTCGCTGCGTGAAGGAGATACTATGCTAGTTGGGCCTGGTCGGGTTAGTCTCGAGATGGAAGTATGTGACATATTAACCAATTAATAGTAAATCATTGGAGTTCCACCACCCTAGTGATATGAAAACACTAGTGAAAAATATATATCACGACTACTACATAACGCCGCGAATATCGCGTTTTTCACATAGTTTTACGCCACTTCATGTAAAACGATTCGTGAAACTCCATTGACAAGCATGAGTACATATCCATATTTGATATTACTATGTAGTATATTTAATACCAGATGTTACGTTATTATCGATATACGAATAATGCATATTATACATAGTTGTGGGATTTCAGATACCATCGGGGCTGTTGCTGAAGATGACCACCACCTGTCTGTTTCTCGTATTTTGTAATTCCTAGGGGGAGCGGATGAATGGTCGGTGGAGGTTTGTAAGATGAGAACAGTTACTGGAATGGATAAGGTGTTGTGTTAGTAAGGGGGAGGTATGGGGTTCAATCCAAGTATCATGGAGATATTTTAAAATGAATTATCACCAATGATTGCTGAGATAAGAAGCCATTATATCGAGCCATGCTTGCTCAGGACTTTGGACATGTCCAGAACCGTTAATCCGACAGCAAAATATAAAGGATAGTAGCTTATTAACATTGGAGTTTCATCCGTTTTACGTGAAGCGGCGTAAAACTCTGTGAAAAACGCGATATTCGCGGTGATATGCAGTAGTCGTGAAATATGTTTTCACTAGGGTGGTGAAACTCCATTGTGTTGAATATTCTGCTCAGAACTTGGTGAGTATCTACTGGTCCTCGTTGTATAGAGGTTGGTAGCCTTATCTTGTTAAATGCAGCTGCTATGTACGTATGGAGGGTGAGGTGGTGGGCTCAGAGGAATCAGCTTGGTCAGCGTTGCCATAGCATGTTAACTCGTATTGTACTATTACTCTGTGGAGCTCATATATGAACTCATTTTGTCGTGAAATTGGTTTTTCTTTGTTTTATAATCACTATCAGTATTATTCATTTGCCTCCCCCCCCACCCCCTCTGCAATGGCCAGTAAAGAGGAACGAGAGGATGAGACATTGCGGCACGCAGTGTCAGTGAGTGTCAAGTGAATCACTCCAATTCATGATGATGCCCTTAGATGCTAGTATGTATGTATCGGGAATTCTTCACTTCACCACCTCCAACAGACCCCAGAGATGGTGTTGATATGCTGAGAGCAACTGCTCTATGTTTCCTCCATCTTTATTCGTTGTCCCAACCATACGCTATGCTCAACGCTGAAGAGCAGGAGGTGAGCTCGATAGTTCGATAGTCGTAGCTGTGATAGTAAAAATGTTGTGACAGCAAATTAGTATGTAGAGTGTGTGCCGATTTGATACTATGCAAATGTAGAGAATGTGCGTTTTGTTTTCCGGGATAAATGATAGTGAACAACTTGTCGCTGTCGTAGATTCGAAAGGTTACCTTCATCACATGTTCATACATTGTTTTTCGCGATCTCAGGAATAATGTACATTTTTTACATTTCCACATCAAATTTACACGCACTGTAATTCACGAGGATACACAAACTGTGGAAAAAAAATTTTCCCGAAAAATATTTCGCCTATAATTTTGTAAAATATCCTCTCGATAACAGCCTCATAAATCAAGCATGGCGACTCACCCGTGGAGCTCTGAAACCATAATTCCAAATGCAAGGTTTGAGGAAAAAATTTTCCTCTTGGTGTGAATGAGATTTTATAATATTGAAATAACAACTCGAATTACGCGAGTTCTCTCACCACACTTTTCTGAATCAGTCTATAATCCCGCTGGTGCTGGCCTGTATTTGGCTGGCATTTAAGGTGACCGACTCGAGTGAGAAATATTCCCTACGTATGAGGGACCTCATCCGGTCTCATAACAGGTAGGCTCTCGGTGAGTATGGAAATAGATTTATTTTCATTAGATGGGCATCAGCGGTCCGACGTGTCAAAATGCGAAAAGGAGAGGTGGGGAATGGAATGGCTTTAATTTTGCAACAATCCGTTTCTGGCCTAGCTCTACTATGTGCAACAATGTTCGTTACAAACCAACAGATGTTCTATTTGACTTCCCAAAGCGGTTTGGCAATCGCCATTTTTCCGGTGATGAATCGTAATTCTGAGGTGGTGACAAGCGCCAGTCAGTCGCAGAAATATGACTCAGCCGCGCGCCCCCCTTACCCCCATCCAATGTTGGCTCTAGACACAAGTATTGAGTGCTCGGCTCTAGGAGTCCCAACATTGGAGAGGGGATGAGGGGATTATCAATTCATCATAGTCATGTTTTCTCTCTGCGCGTTGACTCACTTTTGCGTTTGCATGGCGACAGGATTAAGTGGTTGAAGCGATCTCTGGAATTTTCGCTGCAGTTTAGTGAAGAAAAATCTCGGTTAAAGATTGTGTTGAATGATCACCACGACTTGGAGTGTAAAAGGGCGTATTCTTAGGCGGGACAGGTTGGAGGAGTAACAGCAGTGAATCCACCTGAAGAGGAGATACTAGAAAAGATATGCGTGATGGTAGGGGTGCGGTATGTGGTGATGGGCAGTTTTCGAGAAATATGTGTTTATTTTCCAGAGCGGATATCGGGAGTTTTCTCACTAATTATGGGAGTATTCATACGAATTAGTGTAGAAGTTTTTATAAATCAATGAGAATATCCCGAAATTTTATCAGAAATTTCATATTGTCACCAACACGTGTAGTTGACCATGTGGCTGTTGCCCACGCTGATGTTGTTATCATCAACAATGGAGTTTCACGACTACCCGTTTTACGCGAAGTGGCGATGAACGCGATATTCGCGGTGATTATCACCGGGTGATATGCAGTAGTCGTGAAATATGTTTTTCACTAGTGTTTTTGATATCACTAGGGTGGTGAAACTCCAGTGTAGGGAAGCATGCAGATGATCAACTACACGTATTTATAATAATGAGGAATTTCTTATTGGTCTTCATAAAAGTCAAATGCCTTTAGTCGTGCGCAGATTTCCATGATACTGATGAGAAAACTTAGCTGAGGAAAGCAAGCATATATTCCCCTTCCTAGGCTGTCATTGATCGTCCTTCACATTCAGGAGGGAGTTCTATTGAGAATATCAAAGTGCCGATTCGACAACGATTGGGATCGGCCTGGACGAGCATTGGGAACCATTCTGGCTTCGGTGAGTTATGGTCAACCGTCGGAAAGGAATTTCGATTTCCTAGTATAATGTTAAGGAAGGAATGGATATCATTGGAGTTTCACCACCCTAGTGATATGAAAAACACTAGAGAAGAACATATTTCACGACTGCTGCATATCACCGCGAATATCGCGTTTTTCGCAGAGTTTTACGCCATTTCACGTGGAACGGGTGGAACTCCATTGAAGTTTCATCCGGTTCACGCGAAGTGGCTCAATACTCCATGTGAAAAACGCGATATTCGTGAAGTGGAGTTAATGGAAAACGGTTCGCGAATAATACCGAACAGATCACCTAATTTTACGTGAAATATTTCACGCGTTTCACGCGTTATTCACTGGGAACATGCGTTTTTCGCGAAGTGAAATGTGAAATATGTTTTTCATATCACGAGTGGACCTGTATTGATTTTTGTGGGTTTTCAGGTTATCCCCGTTGGCGTTTCTCCAGAAGTTCGCAAGTCTGTTATCAGCAAATCATATCAACTCGCGAACTCATCTTATTTGTCACCTAAAATAGTTACCCAAAGGAGTGGTAAGTTAACTGCTTTTTAAAACACTTCTCATCGTGTCACCACAGGTGAGCTCATCGGTGTTGCATGTGCTTTGTTATCGTTTCGTTTGCATGGGGTTACCCCTATTCATCAGATGGACGTTGTGGGAGGAAAGGTAGGTAAAGTCGTTTGCTGCTATCTTGCATTTACCCGTTTTCTCGTAGTATTCAACTTGGTATGAGCCGTTTCTTGCTGAGCCCTGTAGAGGTGAGGAGGTAGAGGAAGTCGCACGGGAAGTGGTGCTAGCGTGAGCAAATTCATTGTGTCGTTAAGCTAGGAAACTATCGCTTGGTCAGATTCAGGCTCAACGAGAAGACTGCGGAAATAACAGCAGCTAATGTGGTTACCCCACCGTCCTCGTCGTTTGTCGAACAACCATCTGTTCCTCAGAGTGATACTCACGAATTTCAATGAATTTTCATTTTGTATTTGCGTTTTCCGAGTATGGGGAGGAAAGGTAAACGCGACGAGATCGACACTACTTGGAGCTCTGGTGTTAATATTCAGTTGGTAACTCCTACGGAGCTGTTCTCCCATCATACACGTATCGACAATGTTGATGTGGAGAAGAGCACTCTCACTCTGTTGTTGAATGATCCTACTTGTGTGTAGCTTGAA